TTTTTTTTTTTTTCTTTTTTAATTTTATGTGTACGGGTGTTTTGCCTACATGTGTGTGAGTGGATCATGTGTGTTCCTGGTGTGGTCTGTGGAGCCAGCAGAGGGGGTAGGAACCCTTGGAGCTGGAGTTGACAGCTTTGAGCTGTTACATGGGTGCTGGGAGTCTAAACCCAGCACTCTAGAAGAACAATAGATGCTCTTAACTGCCAAGCCATCCCTCAAGCTCCAATGGCTAGCTTTTAAAAAAGTGTTCGGTAAACACACACACACACACACACACACACACACACACACACACACACGGGAGGGGGGTGGTTAGAAATGTGTAGAGTTAGGGTACATTTATGTAAACGCCATGCCAAAGCATCTGAAGAAGTCTGAGGACAACTTTGTGGAAGTTGCTCCCAGCATGTGCGTTGTGGGGGTTGACTTCGGGTCATTAGGCTTAGTGGCAAATGCCTTTTCCCAAAAGGCCATCTCACTGGTCCCACATAGTCAAGCTTTTGAAGGATGTCTCTTATTTTTTTCTCTTTTTCTTAAGTTGATTTGGTTGAACCCAGGACCTTGTACATACTAGCCCAGAATGATGCTTGAGTGTATTTCTTCACTAGAGGTTCTGATTCTAAACTAACGAGGGTACCAGGAGGTCCTGTGGAACGGTTGTCATGAGGGTGGTCAGATTGGTCATAGCAGTTTGGTAGGCACTAAGGAGTTTGTTTGTTTTCTTTCTTTCTTCCTTCCTTCCTTCCTTCCTTCCTTCCTTCCTTCCTTCCTATCTTTCTATTCTCTCTCTCTCTCTCTCTCTCTCTCTCTCTCTCTCTCTCTCTCTCTCTTTCTTTTTGAGACAGGGTTTCTTTGTGTAGTTCTGGCTGTCTTAGAACTTGCTCTGTAGTCTAGGCTGGCCTTGAACTCATTGAGATCTGCCTGCCTTTGCTTCCAGAGTGCTGAGACTAAAGGTGTGTGCCACCCTTGCCTAGCTACCTCTGTGTTTCTAACCCCCCTCCCCCATCCCACTTTCATGTTTTCCTTCATTCACAGCACTTGAATGGTAAGCTGCAGACCAACCCCATGTACTATGCCTTGGGCGGGGGGACACTGAAGCTGTGTCCAGGGTCTTAACCAGCTCCCTGTCTCAGAGAGACCTGAGGACTTTGTAGTCTTTCACTGCTCAAAGGGACACTAGCTGGTGGGGCCAGTGCCTGCTTAAAAGACATTCTTGCTTCACCACAACCCAGGCTTGGCTGAGGCCCTGTTCCCACTCAATGTCCCAGTGTCTCTGCTGTCCCTTCCTCGAGCTTCCTGGGTCCAGAGTGCATGCCAAGAGATCCCTCATTAGGGACATGTGGATCTGCCCTGAGGAGGATGAAGAGACAGTGGCTCCTTAGTCAGGAGCTGAAACAGAGACCGGAAATAGAATTGAGGTGAAGACAGGAAAGTCTGGAATGGGGCCGGATGTTGTCCCCAGCACTGTTGCTTTTCTCTGTGCCCCCACGCCACTTTCTGTGGAGAAGGTATAGAAGATGGCGTCCTTGTACTGACTAAGCTGGTCTCAAGACTCCTGGGCTCAGCCTGCCCAGGAGCTAGGCTTGTTTGTTTGTTTTTGTTTTTTTGAGTCAGGGTCTCTCTATATAGCTCTCTGTCTGTTCTGGAACTTACCATGTAGACCAGGCTGGCCTTGAACTCCTGCTACCACACCAAGCCTGCTTGTTTTTGAGACAGTGTCTATGTAGCCTGGAATTTGCAATGTAGCTGAGGATGACCTGAGGTTCTGATCTTTACCTCCATCTCCCAGGCGAGCGCTAGGGTTATGGGCATATCCCACCATACCCAGGCTGTATTCCAATTTGAGTCCCTGGCCGTAGCTGGGCTTCTGTCTGCTTTGGATTCTCTTTCCTAGGTCAGGACCCTAAATCTTACCTCAGCCAGCTGGCTGCTGCTTTTATTTCTGCTCTTGCTCAGAGACACTTGTACACCCCTGCTGCTGATTCCACAGGAGGCTCTTCTTCCTGTCTGCTGCACTTGCCTGGCCTCTAGTTCCCTTTCCTCTCTACCTCTCCCTAAGCTCTGTGCTCTTCTCCATTTCTGTAGGTCTCAGACCTACAGCTATGCCCTTCACTCTATCCGCTCTTCCTCCCTCCTAAGCAGTGCCTCTCTCTTTCTCTCTCTCTACAGGAAGAAGCTCACTATGGCTCCAGTCCCCTGGCCATGCTGACAGCAGCCTGCAGCAAATTTGGTCCTCTGCGGGACTCAACAACTCTGGGAAAAGGAGGCACAAAGAAGCCGTACGCTGACCTTTCAGGCCCCAAAACCATGGGGGACGCCTACCCAGCTCCCTTCTCAAGCACCAATGGACTCCTCTCCCCTGCAGGCAGTCCTCCAGCCCCAGCCTCTGGCTATGCCAATGACTACCCACCCTTTCCCCACTCGTTTCCTGGGCCCACTGGTGCCCAAGACCCTGGGCTCCTAGTGCCCAAGGGGCACAGCTCTTCTGACTGCCTGCCTAGTGTCTACACTTCCCTGGATATGGCACATCCCTACGGCTCCTGGTACAAAGCAGGCATCCATGCAGGCATCTCACCAGGTCCTGGCAACACACCTACTCCTTGGTGGGACATGCACCCTGGGGGCAACTGGCTAGGTGGTGGGCAGGGCCAGGGTGATGGGCTGCAAGGGACACTGCCTACAGGCCCTGCCCAGCCTCCACTGAACCCCCAGCTGCCTACTTACCCATCTGACTTTGCCCCCCTTAACCCAGCTCCCTATCCAGCGCCCCACCTCTTGCAACCAGGGCCCCAGCATGTCCTTCCTCAAGATGTCTATAAGCCCAAGGCAGTCGGCAATAGTGGGCAACTGGAGGGGAGTGGTGCAGGCAAACCCCCCCGGGGTGCAGGCACAGGGGGCAGTGGTGGATATGGGGGCAGTGGGGCAGGGCGTTCTACCTGCGACTGCCCCAACTGTCAGGAGCTAGAGCGGCTAGGGGCAGCAGCGGCTGGGCTGAGGAAGAAGCCCATTCACAGCTGCCACATCCCTGGCTGCGGCAAGGTGTACGGCAAAGCTTCGCATCTGAAAGCCCACTTGCGCTGGCACACTGGCGAGAGGCCTTTCGTCTGCAACTGGCTTTTCTGCGGCAAGAGGTTCACCCGCTCCGACGAGCTGGAGCGCCACGTGCGCACTCACACCCGGGAGAAGAAGTTCACCTGCCTGCTCTGCTCCAAACGCTTTACCAGAAGCGACCACTTGAGCAAACATCAGCGCACCCACGGGGAGCCAGGCCCGGGGCCGCCCCCGAGTGGCCCTAAGGAGCTGGGGGAGGGTCGCAGCGTCGGGGAAGAAGAAGCCAATCAGCCGCCCCGGTCTTCCACCTCGCCTGCACCCCCAGAAAAAGCCCCTGGAGGCAGCCCAGAGCAGAGCAACCTGCTAGAGATCTGAGCTGGGCAGAGGAAGGTCTCCAGCTCCAGGGTCCTCTTGCCAGGCTCTCTTGGTGCGGTGGATCACTGCTTGCCTCTCGCTCTCTCTCCTATGCATGCTATACTCTGGGGGCTCTCTCTGTTCCCTTAGGCTATCTCCTTGCATGTCTCCTCGGTTCTTCTCTCTTCTTAGTCAAACTCAGTTCTATGCTCTGACCTCCCGAACTTTTTCTTCTCTGCCTGTTTTTCACAGCTTCCCTGGCCTCAGATCATTTTTCTCATTAACCCTTTGCCGTCTAATCTTTCTGCTTCCCAATCCTGTTTGCCATTTTCCCGAAGCTTCCAGGCTGTCGCACCGATTCCCCTCTGCTTTCCATTCCCTTGAGCTTTTCCCCCCCTTTTTTAAACAAACACGATGATGATGATGATGATGATAATGATAATTTATTGCCCCCTGGTGGTTCTTCATTAGGAACCAGAGTTAAGGAGATTGGTGTTAGTAACCTGGCCAGAAGCAGAGTGCCAAGAAGGGGGAAGCCCAGTGGGGATCTGATCCCAAAGATGGGGTGACCCCAGGGTCAGGGAGGCTGCCCCTAGCCTTGAGTACTTAACCCTTATGTGCCAGGAGTAAAGAATAGTAATAATAATAATTCTATTTATCTAAGTTATGATGACGGGTCAGGTACAGTGAGCTGGAGAGGGAAAGTGAGGTTTTTTTTTTTGTTTTGTTTTGCTAAGGAAATTCTAGTCAAATGCATCTCGGTATAGACAAATGATAGTGGAGACCTTGTTTGTAGATTTCTATCATGGAGGTCTCCTTGAGTTTTGTTTTTTTCCTGGCGGAGTTTTGGGTTGTTAGGCCTCTTTTAGAGTTTATGTGAGTGTCTCTCTGTTAGGCAGAGATCCCCAGCCCCAGCCAGAAGCTGTGAAACTTCAAGTCCTACGGAGGGGAGGACTGGAATGTACCCCAGCTCTCTTGACCCCAGAGCAGGTTCTTCCACTGACCCTCTTCTCATACCCTGTGACCTCACCAGGTTATTCTCTTGTAGTCATGGTTACAGAGAGCTTGCAGCTGCCATCTTTAAAAAAAAAACGCATTCTTTTGGGGAGAGCCCACTTAACAGGAGGATTTCGGTTTGGAGGTGCCCCTCCTGAAAAAGTAGGTGGGCAAAGGCTTTCTCTGGGATCAAATTCAAATAAATCAAGTATTTATTGAATGCTTACTATGTGCAAGGCCTGGTGCCTTAGAAGCCATGAGAATTTATGACAGGACAGAGGTCCCTAAACTAAACACCCACAGTCCCCAAATCTAGGAGGTTCCACTCCATTCCAGTGACTTTTAAAGCCGCTTTGTGCCTTTGAATGCCTTTCCTTAGACTTTTGGGTCTTCCTGTTCTGTCCCCTGCTCCTTCTAGGCCCCAAGATGAAGGGTAAAGCCAGTGGAGTCTGGGAAGAGCATACCATCGTTGACGGGATCATCCCTTTGTGGAATCTTTCTTTTTTTAATTTAATAAATAAAATAAAAGTTCGATTTGAAATTGTGTCTGGTGAGAAAAGGGGGAGAGGAGGGAGGTGTATGGGCTACGGGACATTTCCTTTGCAAAGCGGGGACTTCCTGTGGTAGCTTCTTAATTCACGCAGAAACTTAAAAAAAAAAGAAAAGAAAAGGGTAACACTTGGTCCGCCTGGCTCTCTAACGGAGTTGAGTTTTTAGTCACCTAGAGCTATATGCAGAGACGGGAAGACCGAGTGCTTTCTTTCGGGGATCTTTCTCAGTCCACCAACCTTGGTCTGGGCAGTGACCCGGCCTGAGTATCAGAACTGCAGTCACAGTATGGATTAGCGCGCAGCGCAGCCCCAGCGCGGCTGTGGTGAGACTCCCGGCTGGCTGACCTGCCTGGCACCTAACCCGCCCCCTGCCCGGGGCCTGCAATCAGTTGTGCCTGCCTCGGAGTTAGTGAAGGAACAAAAGCCACTCTGTGGCCTCCGTCCCCGAGCCACAATAGGGCTTTGTGCGTCCCCCCGCCCCAGGGCTCCCCCGCTGGGCCGAGAGGGTACATGGAGCGCTTTCCCAGGCTGCGGCACCGGGATCGCCGTCCACCCCGCTGCCACAGTGGAGGCGAGGGACCCGAAGGCGACCCACCCCGCGATACCCGTGCCCTTGCCCAGGTGCAACATCTCAGCCCTCTGGCCGGGCACGCAGCTTCAAAGGAGCTTTGAAGAAATCCAAGTTCCGAAGAAGTGTCGAAGGAGACGGGGCGAGTGCGCAGGACGTGGGGGTGCCAAGGCGCGCACCCAGAAGGCGGAGGGCGACAGCGGACCCTGGGTCCCGTGGCGCACAAGACCCCCCAGGGGCTGGCCCTGTTGCCTCCCGGGCTCCGCCTGTCCGGTGCCAGCTCCTGCCCGCCGCAGCCTCGCGGTCCTCCCCTCCCAGGCCCCTCGGCCCCTTTCATCTTGCTAGACTCGGCTTGGGGTTTTGCTGGTTTCTGGGAGATAAAAACCGCCTCAAATAGCGGCGGCGCGATGCCAGGACAAACAGGGCCGGGCGGGCCATGTGCGCCTGGTTACCAGCCCGGGGCGCCCTGCTCGGGAGGGCGAGCTCAGGCTCCGGCGATGCCTCCCAGACTGTGTGTGTTTGGGGGGCGGGAGGGTGGGGTGGGGAGGTGCCCTTAGAAGTCTCCGGCCGGCCGCGGCTTGAGGGCTGCCTGGGTTTGCCCGCTCAGGTCTCCGGAGGAGTGGTGGTAACCTAATGCAAAATGCTCGCAGCTCTAGGAGTGGATGCCATTGGGCCATAGTCGCTGCGTCGCCAGGGCCATCGCGCCCTCTAGTGCAGTTAGTGGGGGGCTGTGCTAAGCCTGGTCGTTGGCCTCCCTAGAACCCGCAAAAGCCATTTTTAAAAACGTTAACTTAGCAGTGTGGAAAAGGAGGACCGTGCTTCAAAGAGGCCCAGCCGGGACAGAATGACAGTGTAGCTTTACCCCAGGGCACGCTAAAGATTGAATCAGATACCTAGCAGGCACATACCCGAGGATGACGAGGGGTGGGGAGCTTCATTCAAAGGTGCTGGAAGTTGGAGGCAGGAATGATGTCTTGGAGTTAGGGATGGACGGTGATCACCGGTTGCTGTTTGCTTCAACACTTCCCTGTCATCTGGCTGGCTAGCCCTCTTCTTCAAGCCTGCCTGATTCCCTTTCTCTCAGAGAGCTTTCACAGTTGGGCGCCAGTTAAATGACTTCCCAGATGACGGAGAATTAATTTATCAAGTCAGCCCGGCTAATAGGAAAAGGTTAGAGCTTCGTCATTTAAAACGAGATGCATGCATGTAATTGTACCACTTCAGAGATCAGCCTGGGCTACATATTAAAATTTTTAAATTTTTTTCAAGGACTGAGCAAAGTTATTATATCTGATGATTCTCTGGAACTATAACTTTGACTTTTTGTTTTGTTTTTTCAAGACAAGGTTTCTCTTGTAGCCCTGGCTGTCCTGGAACTCACTCTGTAGACCAGGCTGGCCTGGAACTCAGAAATCCACCTGCCTCTGCCTCCCAAATGCTGGGATTAAAGGGGTGCACCATCACTGCCCGGCGGAACTATAACTTTGAAAACCTAGAATCTGGTGGTTTTTTTTGTTGTTGTTTTTGTTTTGTTTTGTTTTTGTTTAAATTCAAGCAATGGAGGGAGAGTGGAGTGGTTAAGAGTTCTTACAACTCTTGCAGAGAACACAGTTTTGATTCCTGGAACCCATAAAAAGGCTAACCATAACTCTAGTTTCAGGGGGATCCTAAACCCTCTTCTGAATACAAGCAAAACACTCATACACATAAAAAAATAAACATTGCTCTTTGTTTGTTTTGAGACATGAACTCTCTAAGCAGCCATAACTGTCCTGAAACTGGATATGTACATGAAGCAACTGACCTCAAAGTGGCAGAAATCCCCCTGCCTCTGCCTCTTGAGTGTTAGGATTAAGGGTGGGTGCTACCATGTCCATAAAAAATCTTTTTTTTTTTTTAAAGATTTATTTATTTATTATATTTGAATACACTGTAGCTGTCTTCAGACACACCAGAAGAGGGCATCAGATCTCATTACAGATGGTTGTGAGCCACCATGTGGTTGCTGGGATTTGAACTCAGGACCTCTGGAAGTGCAGTCAGTTCTCTTAACCGCTGAGCCATCTCTCCAGCCCCATAAAAAATCTTTAAAGATTCGTTTCCGCCGGGCAGTGGTGGCACATGCCTTTAATCCCAGCACTTGGGAGGCAGAGACAGGCGGATTTCTGAGTTCGAGGCTAGCCTGGTCTACAGAGTGAGTTCCAGGACAGCCAGGGCTACACAGAGAAAACCTGTCTCGAAAAACCAAGAAAAAGAAAAAAACCGAAAAAAAAAAAAAAAGATTCGTTTCCTTTTATTTTATGTGTTGAACCCTCTGAAAGCTGCCCGGTGTACATTCTGGGAACAGAACATGGTCCCCTGGGAGAGCATCGATTGCTCTGAACTGCTGAGCCTTCTCTTCAGCTCCACCAGCAAATTTATGAGAAATTTTTAAAAAAGAGAGAGAAAATTTCAGGTGACTCTCACATTCCTTAACATTTGAGGAAGTAAGAGATTATAGGAGTCCAGTGTGGAGGCTTTAATTTCTGCACCGAGGACACAGAAGGCAGGGCTCTGTGAGCTGAAGATAACCATAGTAAGCTCCAGGGCAACCAGGACAACTCAGTGAGACCCACCTCAGTGAAACAGAGCATAGGAAAATTGAGGCAAACCTTATCTCAGGCAAAGTGCACTTGCAGGCATCTTCCGGATGTCATTGTCTTCTGACCTGGGAGCTTCTCTGGAGGTCCTGTTAGATAGAAAAGATGCAGACACAGAAGCTCAGGGCACAGGAAATCTATTTCTGCCATTGCCCTTATATTCTTCAGTGAGACTGGGGATGTGGGGCCTGAGCCTGCACACAGCTTGAGTTTCCTTCCTTCCTTCCTTCCTTCTTTCCTTCCTTCCTTCCTTCTTTCCTTTCTTTC